TTTTTTTTAAGTCGGCGCTCCCTTCTCATTAGCCTCCCTTCTCCGTGCAGTTTTTTTTTAAGTCGGCGCTCCCTTCTCATTAGCCTCCCTTCTCCATGCAGACAGACATATTTCCCACAAATCTTTAGCTTTTTTTTTTTTTCAGTAAAGAAAAAGAAAAGAGAAACAAAGGTTGCCTTATCCAATAATAGATTGCCTTTTTTCCAAACGGATATATATATCGTCAAATAGAACTGCCCGGTAAACCGTAGGCAGAGAGGGAGAAGAGGACAACAAACGAGGGGCTGTGACAAACTGTTTCGTCGGAGTTTCACCGACTCATCAGGAGGCTGAACCCTCAACAGTCTGCAGAATCCCCTCACTGATTACACTGTAAATGATAATCTACCTCAACCAAAATCAAAGTAGACTATCACTCACCCACACCAGATGGAAAACTCTACAGACTGTCGGTTCACACCCATTCCTAGCCAAAGTGTCTGCGATACCTTAGCCGATAATAGAGCGCCTTTTTCGAAGTTTTTCCAAACAGATATATTTCTTGAATTGCCAAAGTGTCTACGATACTGAGCTCCCCACAGTATGTAACACAGCAATCCAAATACACCCACATAGTCCAGATTCTTCCTCTCTTTTCCTCCACATCTAATTCTTTTTTTTTCTTCTTTTTTAATTTCCCCTTTCCCCTTTCCCCAGGCCAGATCTGCACTGCTGCTCAAAAATTTGGACCATTTCTCAATTTATGTATATGTCATCTTGCGCAGGGGCCATCCTAATCTTCTCTGCGCCGTTCCAATTTTCACAGATGTCCTTTGAAGGACACCTCTGTCTTTTTCTTTTTCTTTTTTTTTTTAATAGCAATTTCTCAATTTATGTGTGTCATCCTCGCGCAGTGGCCATGCTAGTCTTCCTTCTCTGTATAGTTCCAATTGTAACGGATGTGCCCCGGAGGACACATCCCTCTTGTTCTCAAGATTCGAAGATTGCAGATTCCGATCCTTCGAGCTTCTAGAGTCTAGACTACAGTCTTCACCACGACAGAACGCCCACAGTCATGAGTCTCCCGACAGAAAGACGGGCTACGATGATGGGTCCAAATACAGCAACAACGACCATGTGTTCTACTCGGGTGAAAGATGGAAGTAGGCTATGATGGGTCCGTGACTCCGATCTTAAGGGGACCAGAAAAGGCTACGCACCTGCATAAGCAATCTCCAGAAGAAACCTACAGTCGGTCTCGATGCGTGTTAGCACTTGCTCATAAACCTTGTCAAGCCCGTCACCTGCCAGCGCAGCAATGCCCTTCGATGACGACTGCTGCAGAATTTGCTGGACAAATGGACTGACAATCGATACCCGAAAAGCCTCCTCTGCGCCTGTGGTATCGTCGATAGCCGCGTATGCTCGCAGGCAATGATAAATTACCTTTTTACACCTCTTCTCCAACCCCCCTTCCAGGCACCGGCGAAGATGGGTGGCAAGCGTGCCATCCGCTGCCGCAATCCGTTTCTCCATGTTCTGGATGAAAGGCATGTCCTGCTCAATGTGTTAACACACACACCACCACCACCACCCCAACACACACACACACACACACACACACACACACACACACACACACACACACAACACAACACACACAACACACACACACACTCCATCACCCCCCACAACAAATCAAAATATTAAAAGAAAATCCACTTCGAAAGAGGTGGTGGCCAAGGAAAGGTACTCCTTTCAACACAAAATAGGGCAATATGGGTTTTGTCCATACTCCATGGTAACTGGAGTTCGTCTCTAAGGAACGATTCCAATTCAGATCCCAGTTTCACTGCTTCTGATCGTGGACCAGAGCTTGCTACTAGAAAATCATCTGTGAAGCTGATATAATGCATCCTTCAGTTCCAATGTGTCAAATCCACAACAGACAAAAACAGATAAACCAACAAAAGGGCGCAAAACAGACCAACATCCAAAAGCGAGCACACTTGCAAATCACCATTCCTCGCCACGGGAAACGGAAATTAAATCAAACAACAGACAAACAGACAAACAGAGACAGACAAATGGATGAAAAGAGGAACAGAGGAAAAGGCAAACAGACATACAGACAACCACGAGGAACAGGCAAACAAACAAACAGACAGACAGACATACAAACAAAAGGGAGTGAACTCACCGATCGCCATTACTCACCACATGAAAGATGAAAAAGGAAATTTAATGAATGCAACGACAACAGCCAAACAGACAAAAAAGGCAGCACGCTGGCCGATCACCATTACTCGCCACAGCACGAGAGCCAGATGGAAGCTAAATAAGCCCTGTCGATAATGAGTAGTTTCAATATGCACACTCGATTAAAAGTCTGAATTAGCATTTAAAATTTTAAAAAAATAAAAAAATAAATTAAACCAACAGACTTCCAATTTGACACCATCAAACACCATTTCCATTTAATTCAAATCATTATTATACCTCTTCCAGTGCACATTTACACCATTTTCAATATTCTATTATTTTCCTTCCCGTAAATTCACTCATGGCCACAAGCTGAAAACTCGAACAGCTGTATTCTCTAGACTGCTTCCCGGAACTGCTTCCCCGAACTAACAGCCATAATAGTAGCAAGGGCTTAGATCAGCTATTTTTCACACTGAATCCATTCAAAAGCAGGTGTCGACTCACCTGCGTAATGAACGACGACACGTGGCTGGGGTACAAGGTCACTTCACGTAACAGTTTTTTTTAAAAGCAAACAAATAACGTCAGCATATTCACGCCGTGCATTCAACTGTCAAGAAAACGCGCAGGAGCTTGCAGCAAACCAGCGAGGTGACATGGGCAAACAAGGAGAACAAGGGTCAGGAGGTCGACGAGAAGGAAAAGGAGCAACCTTATGTGAATGGTGCAGCGAGGAGGACAAGGAGGGAGGAGGAGAGAGGAAGAAGATGAGAAAGAAGAGAGTTAAGAAATGCAAGAAGTGAAGGGGAGAAGAGGAGAAGGGGAGAAGAGGAGGAGAAGAGAAGAAGAGGAGAAGAGGAGAAGAGGAGAAGAGGAGAAGAGGAGAAGAGGAAAAGA